AGCCGCATTCTCCAACAAGATCTTTGTGTTTTTTGGCAATGGCTGTGGCAGAAAATAACATTCCTCAGTGGGCTTGATGCTGTACTCTGTAGTCACTTGGCCTGGCTGCAAGGCATCAGGCTTCTGTGTGTACTTGACCTCATGGACCTCGATGTTGACACCCACAAGTGAATTTTCCTCCAGGTGACGCAAGAATGCAATCAAACTTTGAGGGTTCTGGGGAAAATCTGCCAAGTCCACATTGTTGCTTTCATCTTCCACTGCAAAGCAAGCTACATACTCCTTGCTGTCCATTTGCCATGGAAGCATTTGGCCTTGAAACTTGGCGATATCTTTCTTGTCCGTTGACCCGCAGAGGTATCTGCCCCAAAAATGGCACACGGGGCTCTGTGCACTCACGACACAGTCAGCAAGCCCATGCAAGTACAAATGGGGACCTTTCACCAGAAGTTCATAGTGACCATCTGGTCCGCAGAGTTGCGCGTCTGGGGACAACTTCTCAATGGTGGTGTCAACCGGCTCCAATGTCACAGCTGATTTCTCTTCCTCCTCCTGGGCTTCGGGTGCTGTTCTCTTCTTCTCTCCTTTGTATGGAACACCAGAGGGGTTGTGCACTTTGTTGTGCTCACCAATGGCCTTCTGGACCTCATCTCCCAAAGTAGGAAAGGTGGCTGTCACTTTGTCGAGCCAGTCCTGGCATAACAAACATATGCTCAATTGACATTAAAAAAACAAAACGAATGTGATTGTTGAAAAAAACAGTCCTGCCGCACTGGTAGATGACCACTTGCATTTGGGCAGGTCACAACATAGTGCGCCTCATTGTAAATTGGTGGGCTCACAGCAGTCTGCTCATTGGCTTCTGGCATGGTGAAGCCTGCTACCTTCAATCGACCACTGCGCAGTTCTCCTTCTATGTGGGTTTTGAGAGACTGTCGGCAAAAAGCTTCAATTCGCAGGTTGTCTGGCTTGTCACCTTCACCATCATCAATAGAACCCAAATTCGCCCAAATGGGAGCAATGGAAGCAAACTCAGGCAGTTTGCCTGCACTGGAATGGAAATTCGTGATGCACTTTTGAAGTGTGCCGTCATAAGGGTGAAGATCGACGACAAAAATCACCCAGGATTTGTCCAAAGACAGCCATTCCACAGCTGACTGCAAGACAGTGCGCCAAAAACCTTCTCCTGTGGCCCACTGCTTGGAGCGAGCTGCTTTGGAAATGTTGGCGCCACCAAGTGGCCGAGCAATGGGTGAGCACGGGTTCACCCATGATGTGCGTGGCAACACTGGGCATTCCGCGACTGTACGCTTTCGCACCTGGAGGAAGCAACCATTCCATTTGGAGATGAGCTCGCCTTTTGCATTCCGGACCTTGGAAACCACAAACCAAAAAGTGGTTCCACCTGGCCTCTTAGATTTGCCACATCCAACCGATTCTTCTGAAAATGATATGAAGCCGCGGGTGGCTCGAAGGTTGTAGGTGTCTTCCCGCAGCATTGCGTCCAGTTCATCCTCTGATTCTTGAATCTTCAGCATGTCGTATGCATCCCCTGGCTTCCCAACGTTTGGGGCAAACACTATGGCTGCCACATTCTCAGGTGCAGCGCCAACTGCATTGGCAATGACGGAGACAGTGGGCTTTGCGTTTGCAAACCAATGGAGGCCCAGCTTGTCAAAGCAAGCAATGTGAAGCTGTAAGGCTTTGCTGCTGGAAATCCCCTCACTTTCTGCAAAGGAGACCATGACTTCATTGACATAGGGCAGAACCCCAGATTCACTGGTGCGCCTGCATGGCATCCAGTGGTTTGAGAAAGTGTCTGTTGCAGCAGCCAAGGCTTGCTTCAGGCACAAGTTTGCAGCAACCTTTTCCTCATGCTGCCTTGCATGGAACAGTTGCAGCTGCCGGGTGTAGTCAGAAAACATAGCGGCCTCTTTTGCCAGCCTGGATTGAAACAAATTGAATTCAGCCTGCTCTTTCGCGCGCTCAGCTTCCTGTGTTCCATCACCAAGAACCGAGGAACCAAGAACCGAAGACCACTGACCAGAGACCTGCTGAATGAATCGAAAATCCGTTGCCTTGAGCTCTGGCTCCATCAGCTTGAGCTTCTCCTGAAGTTCCTTGTTCAAGTAACCCTTGCTGAAGCGCGCAATCAGATCATCCAAGTGGGTGTTTGTGACATGAGACTTCCATTCTGGAAGGAAATGGCCGAAAAGAGAAGCCTGGTCATGGGCCAATGGATCTTTGAAGTTTGAGCGAAACCTGTTGGCCATACTTTTCAAGGATACGTTCTTGCCTGCCATCTGGGCTTCTTTCAAATTCTTCAGGAAAATTCCAATCGCCCGAAGCAACCAGTAGTTGTTCTTAGCTGGGGTCCACTTCAAGATGTTTGTCCACAAGGCTTTGCCACCAGAACGAATCTGCTTTGTGTCTGGTGAGAGGTCTGGATTTGCCCAAATTTTCAAAGGGACTGCGGATTCAGCAACCTTGAAATTTTGCCAATGGTACTCCAGAAGCTCAGTGAACTCCGGGGCTTGGTGGACATACAGCTTGATGAACGCCTTTTCTTGTTGTGAAATTGCTACAGCTTCTGTGCGCCCTTTGTTGTATGCCTGAATGCGTTGGTCAATGACAGCAGCAAAATTCAAACCCTGACCACGCAGCAGGTCTGACCATTTGCAAGCTACCATCAGAGGGTCTGGTCGGGATCGCTCAGCCATTTGACTTTTGAAACCCAAGCTTCGCATGAACTGCTGCTCCTCTGTGGCAGATGGTTCATAAGTGGCCTTCATCCGCAGCAAGGCTTTCAAGACATCTGAAATTGCCACAAGCTCAAGATCACTGAGGCCAAGCCGCAGGGTGCATTCCAAAATGATTCGGCATGCGCTACTTTTTCCCATTCCAATCGCATGAACCATGGACCAATCAACCACAGGTTCACCAGGGCGGGCCCCTGGAGAAAACAGCAAGTCAAGCGGTTCCCTTTCAGAACGATATGGGCTGGCCAAGAAATTTGACACAGTATCCAAGATGTACACGATCTTGGACGGGCCCTTGACTGAATCCTCAGCTGCAAGCCCAAGCTGCCAAGGGGCAACCACAAAACTTTGGATCTGGCCAGCATTGAAAGGAAGCACTGTGTCAACTGCAGCTGGCGGAACCCAGCCTGTCAAGGCCTTGAGACGGTTTTCCAAGCCGTGAAGGTCAGAAAGCAGCTTGGAGCGCTCTGCAGAGCCAGGTGGGTAAGTCTGCAAAAAGTATTGGTGAAACGACTTGGCATCTTGTGCTTCGATATCCCCAGAGCCACAGAAGGTCTCTTCAGCCAGTTTCACAATCTTCTCTTTGACAGCTGCTTCAGCTGCTGCCATGGCTTCAGTGGGGGAAAGCTAACCAAGTAGCAACAGTGTATGTATTTGACATGGATGTCATGGATTCTTTCATCGTAATCACTATTTTGCATATATTTGTTCCAAGACTTTTCCTATCTGAGCCACCCGCAGAAATTGCAAAAAAAACAAGAAATCTGTGGGCTACGCGCCCCCCCTAGCCACCCTGAAGCATGAACACTTCAAATTGGGCCACCTTGACTTTGCTACCTTCACTCTCCCAATTCAGGGGGTGGCACATACGGGATGACTTACCTTGTGGGCTGCTGGCCCCCCCTAGTCACCTCTTAAAGCTATTGCTTCCCATGAAAGATCTGTGGGTTGCTGACAAAGGGAAGTGGCTATTTTAAAGGAAAACCATCGCAACTTCTATTTTTACCATTGACAAAATGCATTATGACATACGGGCCTGGAAAGCCACAAAATTGCATTAGGACATACGGGAGGTTTGGGGCTACGCGGTACCCGGCGTCGCCCCGAAACAAAAAAGCATTAAAGACATACGGGCCGCCCCGAAACAAAAAAAGCATTAAGACATACGGGAAATGCAAAAACGCATTAAGACATACGGGAAATGCAAAAAAAGCATCAAGACATACGGGGGAAAAGCATTAACACACACGGGAAATGTTTTTTTTTGAAAGCATCAAGATATACGGGAATTTAAATGCAGTAACATATGTGCCATGACAAAAGGAAAGGCATACAGGGAATACAACACAACGTTACCTCCTGGAATCTTTGACACCTTTGGACTGTCAACCTTCGTGCAGAAGCCAAGGCCTGAGGCAACTTATGTTACATTGAAAGCAGTTTCAATACCAGAGAAACCAAGGACCAAAGACCAAATCTCGAAACTTCAATCAAATTGTCGCTCAAATCTAAATCCAGTCCTGTCACAACATGCTACTGCCTTAATGATGCATCTTGCAAGAATGGCAATATTTTTTCTCTGGATTGCGTGTGCCATGACTGATCAGCCAACCACCCAGTGAATCACAAGTGTTTCCCCATGATCACAGTTACAAATCAGCGTGCCCCAAGCCAACTTTGTACAGCCCTACACTTTGTGACTGCTGGTGAGCAATCAGCTGATAACTTCAGATCCAATTCAAATCTTCAGGACCAATGGGCTGGACCATGGACCAAAGACCTGAAACCAGAAACCAACAACCAAGAACCAAGAAGGCATCAGTGCTCAGGTGCCTCCACATAGACATGCGGCGTGCCATTCTCCAACATCAGCTCTTGGTCACTGGTGAGCATGTCCAAGCGCACAGGTTCTGTTGTGCCATGAAACAAGATCCATTTCGTCCCCTCTGTGGGTTTTGGAACCTCTGCACTGGCCTTGGCACTGGCTTTGCTCTTGCCTTCATTGCCAGGGCGTTCCTTCCAAGCCTTTGCTGCCAACTTCATGCGTTCACCTCCTTGGACACCTTGCTTTGCCAACTCAGCCATCTTCTGCTGCATGAATCCCCAGTACTCTCCTTGGGTTTCACTGGCGCCCTTTCCTTTCCTCTTCCGGTCACCAGGAATGGGCTTGGATTTGGTCTCATGGTACAACTCCTTCATTTTCAGGAAAACCGCGAGCTTCTGAGGGTTGCTTGGGGGACGCCGGCCAGCGAAAGTGCCCTTGGTGTTTCGGGCTGCTCTTGCACCTTTGGCCTTGGCCTTGGCCTTGGCCTTGGCTTTGCTGTTGGCCTTGACCTTGGCCTTGGCCTTGGCCTTGGCCTTGGCCTTGGGCTGAGCTGCTGTCGTTTCCTCGGGGTGAGCTGCTGCAGCCACTGGAGGGTCTTCAAAACCTGGGACCGAAGGACCTGGGACCAAAGACGCAGGAACCAAAGACCCCGGGACCGAAGACCCAGAGACCGCTGAAGACCCAGTTGCAGGGACAGAATCACCTGAGCCACTTGGCTCTGACTTCTTGGGGTCACTGCGGCAGGCAAGACCACGACCGCGGCCTTTACCACGACCGCGGCCCGAGCTCTTGCCAGAAACCTGTCATTCCAACAAGGATCAGGCCCACAAAACATATGTTAAAAAATGCCAAAATCAAAATGTCCACACGCACATACACACGCCTTGGGTTCAATGTCATCCTGTTTCTCATCACCCTCCATGGATGGAACCTGCCATCGCCAAATGAAAAAGGCATTGAAAACTTGAAAACGTGTCAGCTTGCTGATGCAACAGAGTGATTTTAAAAAACATATGTCAAATATCTGGCCTTGGTAATCCCGGTCTGTGGTGTTGCTGGCAGACCTTTCAAGGTCAGAGACACCTTGTCCTTCTCCAAGCGAGCAATGGCTTTTGCCCGGAGGGCAAGGATATCAATCTTGATCTCCTCCTTGGGGATCTTGGGAGGCTTCTCATCTGGCAACTTCGGAACCTGCTGCCAAAACTTCCTGTCAGGATTGTAAGACCTGGTGATGATCTCAGTGCATTTTTCCTCTGGAGCCTGCAGCGGTCCAATGGCATCTTCAGACACAGTAGCCTCCTGATAAAGATCACTGCCATTTCGGAAGGCACGGCTAGCCATAGCAGTGATGCTACTGAATTACCAAAACACAAATGCAGTGTTCTGTCACTGCAAACCACAAAACGCCAAAATGACCCAAATGGCTCCAGAATGAGCAATGGCTTTTGACTTGGAACCAAAACAGTTTTCCCAGTGTTGGGGCGCAAAGAACGAAAAACACACTATATATATACACACTATATTTTATATGTTTATATTTATAACAAGGACCGAGGAACAAAAACCGAAGACCGAAGACCATAAACCAAGGACCGCAAACCAAGGACCATAAACACCAAAGTGTTCAAAAGCACTTGGTGAAACAAGAGCATGACAAATCTAAGTTGCTGATACAAAAACTGCAAACATGAACCAACCCACCCCCCAATATACTTCCTGCCTGGCAAAGGCTGTAGATGGCGCAGCACCTACCAAGGGCTAGGATGGTATAATGTCACATGGGACATGGACCCTCTGAAACCCAAGTGCTCTGAAAAGTTAGGACCTGTGAAAACCGAGGACCTGTGGAAAAAAAGTTTTATGAAGACTCTGAAAGCTGAGATGCCGAGGATTGCCGATTCAAGATTCCGAACCACTGCCCACTACTGCTAAACCGATCACTTTGTTTTACTGCGCAGCATTGGTCAATGGCTTGAATTGCTGCGAAAATGGAAGACATACATGTGCACCTGGTGTGCACAGAACCTGCCGTCTGCAGGTGTGGCGTGACCATGGCGTCTGGTGCATCCTGGGCTATATTTAGAAATTTGATGAACCAATGAAATCTTTATGAACAAAAGACCCCAAAACCCAGGACCCAGGACCTAAAAACCAAGGACCAAGGACCCAGGACCCAGACCCAGGATGCAGAACCCAGGACCATGGGCAAAAATCAGCTCCATTGATTCCACTGCTGATCCGACTGGCGTCTCGGGGTCTGCGAGCGTCCACGGCTAGCTGCCCCAGCCGAAGGTGCACGGCTGCTGGCAGCTGCTGTGGCATTCGGACGGGCAAGCATGGCCTCCTTGATCTCAGTGGGGACCTCCACGCAGCGGATCAAATGGCGATCCTGTCAAATCTCTGATGGAAAAATGGAATCACATGAAATGCAATCTTTGAAAACAACAACAGCAACAACAACAACAACAACACACAGCAGCAGCAGCAACAACAACAACAACAACAACAACCAAAAAAAACAATTGCATAGCCACAACCACCACCAAATGGGAGCTATAGGCCCTCTCCCCGAAATAAATTGGGCATCCATGTCTATGTATAGGAGGTGGTCTGGAATTCCTCATATATTTTCCTGTTGCAAGTATCCCAATCATCCCAGTGGTCATGTATATCCCTTGCAGTCCCATTAGATCCCAAGTATATATAGTGGATAGTTTAAAAACAACACCAACAGCAACAACATCACAAGTTTTGATCACCAGTCCTGCTGGCGACGCCCTTGTTGGGTTGGCGGCTTCTGAAACCACAGCACCATGGTTGTTTGCACTTCGCCATCAGTGCCCACAGTCATGACCGAGGAACGGGGAGTCATCCCATCATACTGGTGATAGGAGATGGCAAGGGTGCGGCCACCTTCGGCAAACCCAAATCAATTGCCAAATAAATTTGAAAACAACGTAAAAAAATGAGCATATGTCTACAAGTATCTTTCCTGACATGTGCTTTTGCATTAAAAAAAACCTGCCTTCATCTGGCACAGCTTCATTCAGGTTGGTGGGGTCATGGCTGGCTGCATTCAAACCACACTTGTACCAACGGATGCTGTCTGCTGTGGCACTGAGACCGTCACCAATCACCTGGCTCATCAGCACATAGTACCAACCGTCCATTGCAACCCACCAAGTCTGAGCATTTGTGCCGGGAGGGCCAATCAAACCCAAAGCACTTGCAGAGAGGAACTTGTGAGGGTCCGTGCACACTTGCATGTAGATCTGGCCAATGATCTGCGGCAAAGTATACATTGGCCGTGTGTTTTCGCGGAGCCTCAGGAAACATCCTGCAGTCTGGGGAACCAGGGAAACCCGCTCAAATGCCGTTTGCAGCAGACCTTTGTTGTAGTTCTCAATCTCCTGGTCCATTGCATGTCGTTCTTGCGTCTGATTTGCTGGAAGGCACCGAGGGACCGAAGACCTAGGACCACCCTGCCACACCCTGCCCTGGAGGAGGCTGTCCTTCAAGAAACTCAAGTACCAGTTGCCATGGGCATAATAGTCCACGTCCCCATCATCCGCTGGCAAGAGCTCTTGAATTTCAAAGCCTCCTCTCTGCACCCGGGTCTTGAATTTCAAGGGCCTCCTTTGGCTGACCCACGTGGCTAGGGCCGGTCCCCAGACCATTTCACCTTTCAGTATGTGATAGACCCACTGTCGGCTGATGCGAAGCCCCAAGCGGACGAGCTCATCGAGTTGGGCGGCTTGGCTCAGCACATAATCCAACCCCTCTTGGACAGCTGTGGCCAGAAGCTGCTGATCCCTGAGCTGATGATGAAACACAAGCACCACATCCATTCTCACATGAACCCTGCGCAAAAAAACATTTGGTGTATTGCTTTGAATATGTGTGGTGCAAAAAAAACTGCAGAAAGTTTTGAAGGGGTAGTGCAAAAGTTGAAATCAGAACTGAGTGGCTTGGTCCAAATTGCGGAGTTGTAGATCTGCGATTTATTGTCGTACTGGTTGGTGCTGTAGTCAAACCCAAGTGCAAGGGCTGACACACTGGCCTGACCATCCAATGGCAGACCATTCGGGACCTGCCCAGAGTTCAGGTATTCCTCGACAGACTGGGGTGTCCACTCAAAGATCCTGATGTCAACCATGAACCTGGCACACAGCGCTGATGCATTCATGGCGGCCCCACCCGCATATGCTTGTGGCACTGATGATGCGCTTGTCATATTGCTGCGGGGCTTCACACCAAGTGGACCTCGAGCACCGACCTGAGAAACACTGTCATAGAAGCTAACATCATCAACCTCCATCTTGCTGTATGCAGCTCCAGGACCTTTGGACCCAGGACCGCCAGACCCAGGACCTGTGGACCTAGGACCTGTAGACCGAGGACCTCCAGTGGTGTGAGCTGGGTGACGTTCAGGAGATTGAGGTCTTTGAGCTCCAGGAACCAGAGTTGCAGTCTCATCTGCAGCGGGCATGAGGCTGACTTGATCTTTGGTGAAATTGGTCACTCCATCAAGATTCTGGAAAGCTTCTGAACTGCCGAGAACCTGCCAAGAGCGGCCCTCACTGTGCAAGGATCTGCGCTCATGCAAGCCAGAAGCAATGGTACTTCCACCACCCAAGGCAATGGAACGCATGCGCAAGACAGCGCCAACCTTCTTCTTTGAATTTGGCAGTGAAACGTCCTTGATCAAAGAACCTGTCTCAGCAAGCTTCCAAGAGCATGAGCCAATCAGAGCTGGCTCCGACTCTTCCCAGCCAGGCTTGGGCACTTGTGTGAAGGTCACCTAGCAAGAGTGATGTGTGAATGTGAAACCAAACCAACCAAAACCAAACCAAACCAACATCGGTTAAAAACGGCACCCCCTTTTAAGCAAAAACCAGACCTGCACAGTGGCATCAGGAGAAGGTGATCGCAACAAAACACTGTAGTTCAAGGCCATGTTGGTTTCCATCTCTGCAACAGATTGGGCCCACAAGACCTTCTCATCCAACAGAAGCCGGATTTCCATCTGGCAGGTCAGCTTGTCATGGGTCCTGATCCAGGGGAAATGAATAACCCATGAAGGAAAAACCAAGAACTTGCCAACAACAGGTGAAACAACTGGTCAAACAACATGTGAAACAACAGGTTGAAATGCATTTTTCAAATCCAATCCTCCAAGCGCAACCATGGAAACTGTCCAGCTTCAACTCATAGACTATGCCAGAGTCATCACCCAGAAGGGATTGGGCTGAGGCGGACATGCTGCTCAACTGAAATCTGTTCGGAGCAACAGTCAAATGCTTGGTCCAAAAAAACCTTGCACATGAAATCATTCAGATAAAGGAAATTAGTATGAATGAATATCATTTTGATGACCCTTACTACCCACCAAGGACCATTGTTTACCAAGTATGATGGTCAAAGGCATTACTTAGGACCAAGGACTGAGGACCAAGAGCCAAGTCAACCTTGTATGTTTTAATCTGTCCTATCCCCCATGTGGTTGTCTCACTACCTCACTTTGTTTTTGTTAGGCTTCACGATTTTACTAAATGTGTGTGTGTGTGTGTGCGTGTGCGGCGATATGTGGCTCAAAGGAAGTTGTTGGTGTAATTGTTGCAGAAATGCCCACAACGCTTTTCCATCTTTACAAGCGAACCATTTGAAGCACATCTTGACACAGAGTATTTGTGCTTAGTTCAGAGGTTTTTGGGTTTCCTGGTTCTTGGTCTTTGGTTCTTGGTCTTTGGTTCTTGGGTTCTTGGTCCAAGCAATGGCCAATAAGAAGGCTATGAAGACTCAAGTGAAGAGAGGCGCAAAGGCGAGCCAAGATCGAAATAATAAAGCATATGTCTATGGCAGGGTAAGTTCAAAGAAGCAGATTGATGGAACTGGGTTCCCACGTCAGAAGCAAGCTGCACTGCAGCGAGCCAAGCTGGTGGTTGGGAAAAGGATGAACATTCCCACATGCAATGAAGTTATCAGTGGAACCAAACCATTGGAACAACGCAAGATCTTGGGCACACTCATGTCACAGAACAACATCAAGATATTTGTGGAAAATGCACGAGCTATCGCAAGAACAGCCAAGGTTGGTGAAGACATCTATGAAGTGGCAAAAGCAAAGGGCATTGAGATCATTGCTGATGACATTCCGAACCTCTTTGCACTAAAACCCAGGCCAGTGGAGACCTTTGTGAGGCTAGTCACCTTGGCAGTATACCAACTTGAACGAGACCTCATTGTGGAAAGGTTGACCAAGGGCCTTGCATTGGCCAAGAAAAGATCCAAGAGAACAACGCAGTTCGGTGAGGCAAAGGTCAATGGCACAAGGTCGCACT